CCCAGAGGACATACGCAGACACGGGGAGAACATGCAAACTCCACTCAGAAAGGCCCTGTTTCGACCAGGATTTATAAGATAGAAAATAAGTCACAGTTATAACATTCAGAAGGTGATCCAGACCCAGGAAGTGTGTTTGAGAAATGGATCTGTGTGTTTTATATATTTAAATCACATAATTTCACGTTGTATAGAATTCAGGTTCAAACTATAACATTATTCAGGTTTGTCGCCGAAAAAATAATGATGTGGCTTCAAATGGCTTAAAACAATTATGAAGTGAATTATTGCCTTTGACCAAACCAACAGAACTTTGATTTTTCAATTTTTGTTTTATTTTAGGAGAAAATTAACTTTATCAATAGTTCCAGTATTTCAAAGCAGGCGATAAATACATTCTAATATTTGTCACTGTTTCATAACTGTAAATATACCATGGACTAAGCAGAGCTTTAGCCTGCCACCTTGTGGCGATAAGATGTACTATTTTTCCACGCAGCTGCGTGATTCCCGAGAAGCGTGAATGAAGACGACAAAACGGAATGGGACCTACTGTAAGTTGTGCGAGTTTAACCGGGTGCTACGTAGTACGAGAGAAAGGTATTTTTCTGAAATGATTGAAGGCTGCAGCAACAATCTGCGTGTTCTGTTCTCAACAGTTAATAGATTAACAAACCCCCCTGTTCAAATGCCATTAGAGCTTACTTCCAAACGTAAATGCAATGAGTTTGCTAATTTTTTCAATGACAAGGTTCAAGGCATCAAAAACGCCATTGTCTCCAATCCACAGATAACCATCCAACAGCCAGAAAGGCTCTCTGAGCTAACTCACTTTGCACCTGTAAATGATAAAACTGTCCAAGAGATAATCTCCAGTTTGAGCTCCTCCACATGCAGCCTGGATGTACTACCCACTAGATTTCTAAAGTCTGTTCTGAGCAGTCTGTTACCTTCACTCACACAGATAGTAAACATGTCCCTTCATTCTAGAATATTCCCAAAGGCCCTGAAAACTGCAGTCATCAGGCCCCTGCTAAAAAAGAGCAGTCTGGATGCCACTGTACTTAACAACTATCGTCCCATCTCAAATCTGCCATTTATGGGGAAAGTCCTTGAGAAAGTTGTCTACCTACAGCTTACTAGATTTCTTATAATCAACAACTCATTTGATATGTTTCAGTCCGGCTTTAGACCCCACCACAGCACTGAGACTGCTCTCGTCAAGGTTACAAACGATATCCGGCTGAACACTGACGCAGGCAAAGTCTCAATCTTAATCTTGTTAGATCTAAGTGCTGCCTTTGACACTGACGACCATGAGATCCTCTCACAGAGACTAGAGGACTGGGTTGGCGTCACTGGCACCGCCCTAAGTTGGTTTAGGTCTTACCTTGAAGACAGGAAGTACTTTGTGGAGATTGGAAACTGTGTCTCAGATCATATGGCCCTGACCTGTGGAGTCCCACAGGGGTCGATCCTGGGACCTCTTCTGTTCAATCTCTACATGCTGCCGTTAGGTCAGTTAATACGCAGAAACAAAGTTTCCTATCATAACTATGCAGACGACACTCAGATCTATGTCTCACTGACTGCAGGAGAACATGGACCAGTGGACTCACTCCTTCACTGTATCCAACAGATCAGTGAGTGGATGCAAAACAACTTCCTTCAGCTAAACGCAGACAAAACTGAAATGATTGTCTTTGGTCCCCAGAAACAAAGAGAGAGCGTCATCTGTCACCTACAGTCTCTCTCCCTAAAACCTTCAAACAAGGTCAGAAATCTAGGGGTAATACTGGACTCAGACTTAAATTTTAAAAGCCACATCAAATCAGTAACATCAGCAGCTTTTTACCATCTAAAAAACATTGCCAGGATCAAAAACATAGTGTCTAAAGCAGACCTGGAGATTCTTATCCATGCATTTGTCTCCAGTAGGTTAGACTACTGCAATGGCCTGCTCACAGGTCTGTCCAAACAGGCTGTAAAACAGCTGCAGTACATTCAAAATGCAGCAGCTCGAGTCCTGACAAGAACCAGGAAGTACGACCACATTAGTCCAGTCCTCAGGTCTCTGCACTGGCTTCCTGTGGCTCAGAGAATAGACTTTAAAACAGCTCTGCTTGTGTACAAGTCTCTCCATAGCCTCGCACCAAAATATATTAGTGACATGTTAGTCCCATATGAACCAGCCCGGACTCTGAGGAGCACAGGGACTGGACTCCTGCTGGGACTCTGAGGAGCACAGGGACTGGACTCCTGCTGGGACTCTGAGGAGCACAGGGACTGGACTCCTGTTAGTGCCCAGAGTCAGAACTAAACATGGGGAGGCTGCTTTTCAGATTAATGCTGCTAAAATCTGGAACAGTCTTCCTGAAGATGTGAGACAGGCCTCCTCTCTGACAATGTTTAAAACCAGGTTAAAGACGGTTCTGTTTAACTGTGCATACAACTGAGGGATTTTATATTTTTATCTTTCTTTTTAATGTTCTGTGATAATTTATGATTTTAATGCTTTCTTGTTTTGTTCAGCACTTTGAATTGCCTTGTGTATGAATTGTGCTATATAAATAAACTTGCCTTGCCTTGCCTAAATACCTTCGGTCATTCATGTATTTGTGTTTTTCCTGTATACCAATACCTAATATTTATTTTGAATGTGGTGACGAAAGAAGAAATGAACTGAACTGAACTAATTAGTTAATAATCATGAGTCGTTGATTATGATCATAGGGGACATAACCTGCATCTGTATGTATCTATAATATTATATCCTAAGACCTCTGTGGCTCTTTGTTCAATACATGGTTCATATGAAATACTTCATTATTTAACGAAAACAAGGTTATACAAGTCGTGTACCTCCTCCTAATAAGTCATCTTTTTTTAGAGTAAACGTGGCTTTAAAGGGGTAAAGAATCCGTCACATATCACAGATTCAGAAAAGACAACTTTTGTGTTTTTGTTTTATGTTGTGTTGGTTCTGTGTTTTTGGTGTTGTTTTTGTCTGTTTTTTTGTCTTTAATAAAAAAACATAAATAAAATAAAACTGCCAAAGAACAACAAAAATACCCGGGGGAGGGGCTAGCTTTTAGAGGACTGAGGTGCGCATATACTGTATACAGATAATAGGTGCTTAAACTTGTATGAATTGTACTCAAAACAGTTTTGTGTTTTAAATAACAAGAGAAAACAGTTATGACTTGGCCAGAAGCTGATTTTGAGGTCATGTCCCCTTTAAATATGTATAACCGTGAGCCGTTAAATGAAAACCATCATTTGTTTTTGTTTCTCCTCACGAACGCTCGGCTCAGAGTGTGTGGCAGTTGTCTTTGATCTAAACTGGACTTGAACATAACATTTTGTGTAGAAACCTTTTCACCGGTGGAACGGAAAAACCCCAGATGCACCATTTTGTGCTAAATAATTGAGCTAATTTGGCGTCACATACAGCTGTGTTCTCTGTAATTCACTTCTGTGCGAGGCCTGGATTCTGCTGCTATGGCGGAACACTATTCATTTCTGTTTTATCTCGTTTTGCATAATTATACTTCCAGTTGGTGTTTATGAACAAAGCACCATTGCAAAAACGTCCCTTCGGGCTTGTTAATAATAATATCCATATGCTACGGTAATATAATGTGATTTACAGACTAAATTATAGTAAAATTACGAGGGGGACTGAGAGGCGCTTTCTCTGCATTAGCCATCGGAGGCTTGGAGCTTCATTACCACCGGGCTCTGGCGACGTACACGCTTTCAGACTCAATGTATTTATATATTTATACATAGATCATATTTCACAATGCTTTTTAGACCATGAGAAAACTTTGGGGAAGATACAGTAATATCTTCAACATATGAGCTTTGTCCAGGTGAGAGTTAGCGAATCAACATGGCGCTAAAACAACATTGTATAAAGCAAAGGAAGGTTTCTCACCCATCATCTGTACTTCTTAGCAAGTTTTCCCGACGTTTCGTCCTCAAACTAGCGGACTTCTTCAGGGAATGAATTCTTGGACCGCGCGTTGGAGATTTATAACCTATGGAGAAACCAAACAAACTCTACAGAAACGACTTTACCAACATCGTAGAGAAAACTCTAGTGGGCCACAGCTGTTCATCTCCACCTCAAGGCCTCCAACCACACGGTGGATGACACAGAGGTTAAAATTCTGGCTCGGGAGAAGAATTGGTTTGAGAGAGGGGTGAAAGAAGCCATTTTTGTGAGGAAACAAAAACCTTCTCTTAACAGAGGAGGAGGGTTAAGATTTGTTTTGCCTCGCATCTATGACGACATCCTAAAAACAACGCCCTAACTTGGGACAAGGTCAGTGACATGCTAATGAGTTAGGAGGGGTGAGACCTGCCCTCCACTTGAGCATCCCAGCAGACAATAGGTCAGTGACATGCTAATGAGTTAGGAGGGGTGAGACCTGCACTCCACTGGAGCATCCCAGCAGACAATAGGTCAGTGACATGCTAATGAGTTAGGAGGGGTGAGACCTGCACTCCACTGGAGCATCCCAGCAGACAATAGGTCAGTGACATGCTAATGAGTTAGGAGGGGTGAGACCTGCACTCCACTGGAGCATCCCAGCAGACAATAGGTCAGTGACATGCTAATGAGTTAGGGTCGTTAGCCTCAGCAGGGTCGTTAGACCTGCTCCCTTCTACATCAGACCTTAGATTGTTTATGAGTTAGTATCAGGATTAGGGTGTGGCTAACCACACCCATAGGTTATAAATCTCCAACGCGCGGTCTGAGAATTCATTCCCTGAAGAAGTCCTTTGGATTGAGGACTAAACGTCGGGAAAACCTGCTAAGAAGTACAGATGATGGGTGAGAAACCTTCCTTTGCTTTGACTAATCCCTGTACGACTGAGAGCTTACACAAACTTAACATTGTATAATGTTGTATACAGAATCATCCTAATCAAACTTTGGGACAAGTTACCAGGAACTCATGTCCAACTCATGTCCAACTCATGTCCAACTCATGTCCAACTCATGTCCAACTCATGTCCAACTCATGTCCAACTCATGTCCAACTCATGTCCAACTCATGTCCATCTCATGTCCAACTCATGTCCAACTCATGTCCAACTCATGTCCAACTCATGTCCAACTCATGTCCAACTCATGTCCAACTCATGTCCAACTCATGTCCATCTCATGTCCAACTCATGTCCAACTCATGTCCAACTCATGTCCATCTCATGTCCAACTCATGTCCAACTCATGTCCATCTCATGTCCAACTCATGTCCAACTCATGTCCAACTCATGTCCAACTCATGTCCATCTCATGTCCAACTCATGTCCAACTCATGTCCATCTCATGTCCAACTCATGTCCAACTCATGTCCAACTCATGTCCAACTCATGTCCAACTCATGTCCAACTCATGTCCATCTCATGTCCAACTCATGTCCAACTCATGTCCAACTCATGTCCAACTCATGTCCAACTCATGTCCATCTCATGTCCATCCACCCACTTTCTTCTGCCGGATACGTTGCCACAGACATCTATCTACACACATTTGCAAAATAGACAATTAAAGCTGGGGTACGAAACTTGCAAACCACATGCACACTCATGTAACTACTTCCTCAATCTCAAAAGGTGGTCTCATAATTAGCCTTCCCTAATTATGAGTTAATTAGTGTATAATGTATGGTTAATTATCTCTTTATTGGTATCTATTCAAGAACTTATTAATCATTATTCTACATCACAGTTAAATGGGGTTAGGGTTAATTATTAGCACTTTATAATCTGTTTATTTGTGAGGCCTGATCAGACGTGTTACCGTTTGGTTTTATCTTGTGGCTAAATCTTGAATGTGAAAGCCAGATCCTGTCAGACCTCTGTAGCTGTGCAAGGCAGGGCCTGGTTAGCAATGTGATGGGAGACATTTGGAAACATCAGGTTCCACAGTGGAGCGGCTGTAACTTGCCCCAGGGCAGCTGTGGCTACAGTAGTAGTTTTTCAGCACTGTGTTTGTAGTGAAGGAATAACGACCTGTGAAGTGTCATTATTGTTATTATTATTAGTTATCAGAGAGGACCACCCTCACCCGAGAGGTCTCGCTGTTAAAGCACAAACAGCAGCTAGCAAGGTTAGCGGCTGTGAGAGCGCTGTCGACGATATGAAAACATTTGTGAAAAACACAGATTAACGTTCAAGCTGTTAATGTCATAATAATTAAATATTATAAGGTGCCTAATATACATTTTTATGCTTATGTCTGATGTGTCTCTGGTTTTACAGTTAGAAGGTCCTGGGTTCGATTGTGCCCCAGACTGGGCCTTTCTGTGTGGAGTTTGCATGTTCTCCTTGCTGCAGTGTAGATTTCCTCAGTGTGCTCCGGTTGCCCCTCCTACCACTAACATCGCGATCACGTTCAGGGGGAACGAGTGTTGAGTGTGTGTTTGTGAGTGCGACTGTTGGACGACTTATGCAAATTAGCCTAAGCTACAATTTGTGTTCTAGCCAAACAAAACAATAAATACAAAACGTGTTATTTTATGATTGAGTTAGTTCTATGCGTGGTCTTTCCTGTTCAGCGGTCAGTCTGTTATCATCTGTGGTTGCTGAATTGACAACTTTGCTTAGTGCTTTAAGACGACTGCTGTTGTGATACAGTATTGATTTGAATAAGAACAGAAAATTGATTTAGTTAATTCCAAAGCTCCCACCAACTAATCCACAACCTAAATAAATATATAAAAAATTAATATATTTGTAAAGCTGTTTTTGTGTTCTTGTTTGTATAGGAAGAAGCCCAGAGGCACTATGGACTTGTCCCATCTGGAGGGATGGAGCTGGAGAACCAGAGGAACTGGCAACCGAACTCAACCATGGGAGAAGAGGCTGCTGAGGAGATGTCACAACACTCGACCAGGGGTGTCCACACATCTGAGTGAGAATGCACTGTAGATAACCAACTTTAGACAAGAAGCTTTTTAAACATGTTTTCCTGATTCAGACGTTCTGAGCTTTAACATGGGCTTTGGATATAAAGTCCGTGTTGATCCCCTCATACTGCTTTGTTGAATTATAATTTTCCTTTTAGATCAAACTACTCTAAAAAACAAACCAAAAGTCCCAATGTTTTTCTATCAATATACCTTTGAGATGAGCCAATGATAATATTCACTTGCTACATTATTCTTTAAATAGATTATATTTAGATAAACCTCATTAATGAAAAAGAAGGAAACAGAGAGGCTGTAAAGAAAGTCTCACAGTTGCTGCTGTTTGTCAGAACGATGCCATGACGGCTCGCACACTCAGAACAGAGTGTTTTCGCAGGCTGACCCTGGCGCTGATGGAGGACAGTGGATGAACAAAGCTAACTACATACAAGCTAACCCAATAGCCTGGCCCCAAGTCTGGACTGAGGCCTGGTGACTTCCCGGCTGCGACTACGTGATGAAGACTGCAGTTCTGGATGACAACCATAGCCCACAGTGAGTTCCCAGAAGACGTGAGAAAATTACACGGTTTTGAAAGAGTTCAAAACCCTAGACCATTGACCCATAACTGTACATAGAAGGACAATGCTACCCTGTTCACTCGCTAGGCTCAGGTTGTCAAACTCATTTTGTGTTCATTTTTTGATTCAGTGATCCAGGTAGTCCACCAGGTGGGTTTTCATTTAGAATGTTAGAGTAGATAAAATAGACATGTTATAACTGTTACTAGTGAATTTGTGTGTTCATACTGGACTCTCTCTAGGTCTGTTCTGTTTCACAGTTGTGTGTTTCCTACAGAAGTTTTGTGTGATTGTTTGTTCATACTGGACTCACTCTGTGGGGTCTGTTCATGTGTCACATTATGTGAGTTCCTACAGAGTTAGGTTTTTGTGTCCTACAGGACTCTCTCTTGGGTCCGTTTCTGCTCCACATGCGAGCCTAGAGAGAGAGAGCAGCTGAGGAGAGCGGAGAGAGAGAGCCAGCGAGGAGAGAGAGCACCTGCGAGAGGAGAGAGCAGCGAGATGGAGAGCAGCGAGATAGAAGAAGCCAGCGAGGATGAGAGCAGCGAGCCGAGGATGCAGTTCGAGCGATCTGAGAGCAGCGATGCGAGAAGCAGGCGAGCGGAGCGCAGCTGAGCCGAGACGCCAGCGAGCGAGAGCAGAGATGCGAGCCTGCCAGCGCGAGCGAGGAGCAGCGAGCGAGAGCACGCAGAGCGAGAGCATGCGAGCCCAGAGAGCAGCGAGCGAGAGCAGCGATCCGCGAGAGAGCAGCGAGCGAGAGACCGGACAGCACGCTGCGAGCAGCCGAGCGAGAGAGCAGCGACGCGGACTTCTCCTTGAGAGCAGCGGAAGAGAGTAGCAGCGGAGAAGAGCAGACGGAGAGAGAGCAGCGAGATCGTCAAGCAGTGAGCAGCCGAGAGAGAAGCAGCGAAGGAAGAGGAGCTGCAGCGAGACGGACTGAGCAGCGAGCGTGAGAGCGCAGCGAGAGAGAAGCCAGCGAGAGAGAGCAGCGAAGCAAAGCAAGAGCAGCGAGATGAGAGCAGCGATTGAGAGTGAGAGGAGACAGCGAGAGGAGAGAAGCCGAGAGAGCGCAGCGAGACAGAGCGCAGCGAGAGAAGAGGGACCAGCGAGAGAGAGAGAGCGAGAGAAGAGAAGCGAGAGATGAGAGAAGTTCGAGAGAGAAGCAGCGAGAGAGAGGACCAGCGAGATGAGAGCAAGCGAGAGGAGAGAGCAGCGAGAAGGAGAGCCGCCATTCTCCAGGGTTCCGCTGGGTAGTTATCCTACTTTATGTAAAAAAGCTGTTTCGCCTTTCTTTGTAATCTCTGAAGCATAAATTATGATTCAGCAAAGCTGCACCTGGGAAAAAAAAAAACCCGCTGTAAAGATATACGGGAACACAAACTACACATTGTCTTCGTCCGGTTGTCGTTAAATACCTGTCTATAGACTATTTTATGAACTGTATGAAAAAAAAAAGAATTGTGCCACTCACTTTTCACCTCGAGGGCGGTTATCCCTCTCCTAAGCTCGGGTCCTCTACCAGAGGCCTGGGAGCTTGAGGGTTCAGTATCTTTGCTGTTCCTAGCACTGCACATTTCTGGACCCAGATGTCCGAGGTTGTTCCAGGGATCCACTGTAACCTCTTCTAGCTTCAGGGTCATGCCCCGAGTGCACCATCACCACGGGCACTACTGTGACCTTTACCCTCCCAGCCGCCTCTCACTACTGTGACCTTTACCCTCCAGGTCCTCTCACTACTGTGACCTTTACCCTCCAGGCCTCTCACTACTGTGACCTTTCCCTCAGGCCTCTCACTACTGTGACCTTTTACCCTCCAGGCCCTCTCACTACTGTGACCTTTACCCTCCAGGCCCTCTTCCAGCTCCTCTCTGAGACACTGGCTATTTCTCAAGCTTTTCATGTTCTTTTTTCCCAGATGCTACCATCGCTTGGAATTGCCACGTCCACCACCACGGCTGTCCTCTGCCCTTTGTCCACCACACGGCTGTCTCTGACCTTTGTCCACCACACGGCTGTCCTCTGCCCTTTGTCCACCACCACGGCTGTCCTCTGCCCTTTGGCCACCACCACGGCTGTCCTCTGCCCTTTGTCCACCACCACGGCTGTCCTCTGCCTTTGTCCACCACCACGGCTGTCCTCTGCCCTTTGGCCACCCACGGATGTCCTCTATCCTCTGCCCTTTGTCCACCACCACGGCTGTCCTCTGCCCTTTGGCCACCACACGGCTGTCCTCTGTCCTCTGCCCTTGTCCACCACCACGGCTGTCCTCTGCCCTTTGTCCACCACCACGGCTGTCCTCTGCCCTTTGTCCACCACCACGGCTGTCCTCTGGCCTTTGTCCACCACCACAGCTGTCCTCTGCCCTTTGTCCACCACCACCGGCTGTCCTCTGCCCTTTGTCCACCACCACGGCTGTCCTCTGCCCTTTTTCCACCACCACAGATGTCAGGTTGGTTCAATACCCATTCGGACGGTCTGTATCTGGAAGTCCCACAGGATCTTTGCACGCTCATTCGCTCCACCACCTTTGGAGGACGGACCTTGGGTGTTTCCAGCCCATACTCTGCACAGATGTTTCTGTACACTATGCAGCCACTTGGTCTTTATGGCGTTCCATGTAGGGCCTTCCCTGCCAGCATCTTGCACCGTGCAGTTATGTGTTGGATCGTCTCAGGTGCATCTTTGCACAACCGACACCTTGGGTCTTGTCTGGTGTGGTAGATCTGAGGCCTCTATCCGCTCTGGTGCTCAGGGCCTGCTCCAGTGCAGCCATTATGATGCCTCTTGTGCTGTCCTGTAGGCCAGCCCTGTCTAGCCATTGTAGGACTTCTAGAGCCAGCCCTTTCTAGGGCTTGTTCTCCCATTATGAGCTCTCCTCCAGCACCTCCTCATCTCGCCACTGCCTGAGACATTCACTGAGTACGTCATCCGTTTTGGCCTTCTCCATGATGTAGTTATGGAGTTTGGATGTTTGGTCCTGGACAGTGGCTCTCACACTCACTAGTCCTCGGCCTCCTTCTTTACGGCATTACGTTACAGTCTCAGGAGCTGGATTTGGGATGGAACCCGCCATGCATGGTAAGGAGCTTTCGAGTTTTAACATCCGTGGTCTGAATCTCTTCCTTTGGCAAACCTGATTATTCATGCAGGGTATCTGATCACTGGCAGGAGCGTAGCTGTTAATTTTGCCCGGGGCCTTGTTACTGCCTTTGAGCCTGGCTTCTTAGCGACCTGCCTTACTCGAGGGAGGTATTTGGCAGTGGCGCTTTCCATGTCACCTGTTCGAGGTTGCCATTTGCCTGTGGTATACCGAGATATCTTGTAACTGTCCTGTGCATGCAACGTCTTGCTATTGTTCCCTCTGGGAGTGAGATCCCTTCTGTTGTGGACTACCTTGTCCTCACCCAGTCACGTCATCCTGGCTACATTTCTCGAGTTCCGACATGACACTACAGAATCCAGATCAATACATTATTCTATGAAAGTTCTCTCCCTGTGGGATGCAGCAGCGTTCCAAGGATTGAAACGTAGATGTAATAAGAAAGAATTACTTTTTAAAAGAAATTTACACAAATTTGCCTGCTATAAAAATAAATATTTCCAAATATGAAAGAAAAGACTCAATCTCACTTTGCAAAAACAGATTTTTTCCTCTTGTCTACCCACGGAGAAAACACATGGTCTGGACTTTGTTTTGACTCACTCTCGTCTTCACCCTGCTGCGCGGCTGACACGAATCCAAACAACATGCCAACCTTTTCATCATTGATCCAGGTCGTTACAGCGTTTGAACCTCAGACCTCACAATGAAAACACATAACATGCTTAGATCAAGGCTCCTTTTGGAAAACTGTAAACAAAAAATGTGTAAAAAATTGCTCAAATTTGGTAAAATGTGAATTAATTTAAGCACATTGTGACGCCTTAAAAAAGATTTGCCGATGGGACAAACAAATATGTATTGTTTTCTCCCTAGGAATGAGAATATAATGCAGCTCTTGATAAAGACTAAATGGCTTTGTCAGAATGTATTTAAATCAAGAAAAAAACATATTTGAGCCACTTTTGCAGAGTTTATCCTTTTTTCAGGGGTGCGACAGTAGCTCAGTTGGTAGAGCATTGGCCTTTGGGCCTGGAGGTTGTGAGTTCGATTCCCACCATGGGACCTACTCCAACTGCTCGCACTGATGACTGCTGTCGTTGTGTCCTTGGGCAAGACACTTAACCCCATATTGCCTGAAGCTTGAAAGATCAAGGCTGTTTCACAATTGACAGAGCAGCCATCTTCCTGTGGACTCACCCCCTGCAGAGGATCAGAGGGACTGGTGCTATGAGCGTTGGGGGCAGCTCTCATTGCCACCCCCCCGACCCAGAAATGGACAAAGGGGTTGAAAATGAAATGAAATGAAATCCTTTTCTCACATCATCGTTGTTCTTCGACATTTACACAAAGAGCAAGAAGCCACTCAGGAATGTTGAAGTGAAGAATAATCTCTCACACTTCTCTGTGGACCGTTTTCACACGTCCTCGTTTCAAACCGGACGTGGAACGAAGTCCTTTCCGGTGGCTGTGCTTCGCCGTCACACACACAGCTTTGAGTTTGGCTCAATCTCGCAGCAGTTGTTTCTGTTCTCGTCCTGGTTGGGCTGGAAGAGCGAGAAAACATACCTTTCTTTCCACGCTTTCCCGACGGACCTGGACCAAAGGAGGCCGTGGATCCAAGCCCTCAGAGGAGACCATGGTCCCCAGTTCTCCATAAAGCCAGGGAGCACTTTGTATGCAGCCTTACAACAGCCTTAAGGCCCTAATTAGAAAAATAAATCAGTAACATAGATGGTAATAAGGCAGTTTATTATCCTGTATGACTTGGATCGTACGCGCGCTCTGATTGGTTGATTTGCGGTCTGATATTTTCCCATCCTGGACCGTTACCATGACAATTGGTCCACAGCGCGTATCACATTTGATATCTTTCCACGGTACAAAAAGAATGAGCGACGACTTCGAAGAGCCAGAGGAAGTAATAACTGCAAATAACGACGAAAACACAACTCCCAACAGTCAAGAAGTGATTGACAACTTCGTTACAGACCAGAAAGGTAAAAACAGGATTAGGAAAACCAAGTCGGAGATTGATATTTGCATAAATTAAAAATAGTCATATAATAAAACATTTATTAACCTCGCCTGCTCGGTCTGTACAAAAAGGCCGCGGTGATATTTCTCTGTCCAGACCTCGCGCTCGGTTAATAAGCCGTTAATCAGACTCAGTACTTGTACACCATATGATTTCATAATGATCTATAACATGTGTTCTGTGGTATGTTAAGTCTTTTTGTCCTGTCTTTGTAAAACACTGGAGGCTGAAACTCTTGAACGATTTCCTGGTTCCGTCCACGCAGCACCTGTCTTCCCTCAAGGACAGCCGTTGTTTATTCTTTAAATATGCAGAGAGGCCTAAGAAGTGTCTGTGGAGGCTGCTGCCAGAGCTGGAGGTGAACTAGAGACCGGTGCTGGCTCAGACCGGGGCCTGGATGATGGATGGAGCCAGGGGGGCCGAGCGAGCCGCCAGGGGGGCCGAGCGAGCCGCCAGGGGGGCCGAGCGAGCCGCCACTGACGCCACACATGCCACGGAGACCAGGGAGACTGTAGACCAGGGAGACTGTAGACCAGGGAGACTGTAGACCAGGGAGACTGTAGACCAGGGAGACTGTAGACCAGGGAGTTGTAGACCTGGGAGACAGTAGACCAGGGAGACAGTAGACCAGGGAGACAGTAGACCAGGGAGACAGTAGACCAGGGAGACAGTAGACCAGTGAGACTGTAGACCAGGGAGACAGTAGACCAGGGAGACAGTAGACCAGGGAGACTGTAGACCTGGGAGACTGTAGACCAGGGAGACTGTAGACCAGGGAGACAGTAGACCAGTGAGACTGTAGACCAGGGAGACAGTAGACCAGGGAGACAGTAGACCAGGGAGACTGTAGACCAGGGAGACTGTAGACCAGGGAGACAGTAGACCAGGGAGACTGTAGACCTGGGAGACTGTAGACCAGGGAGACTGTAGACCAGGGAGACAGTAGACCAGGGAGACAGTAGACCAGTGAGACTGTAGACCAGGGAGACTGTAGACCAGGGAGACTGTAGACCAGGGAACCGTAGACCAGGGAGACTGTAGACCAGCGAGACTGTAGACCAGCGAGACTGTAGACCAGGGAGACTGTAGACCAG